TGCACGAACTTACCCTCCAGTCGCGGCCAGAGGGGCTGTCCCATGACCCCGCGGTGGCCGGTGCTGCGCAGGGGCGATTTCCCGGGGAGGACGCGGGGATTTCGCCGTTTTACCCCTCCTGGCGTCGCTCCCTGCGCTGGCGTCGCCTCTCGGAGCACGGGACCCCCCTCCGGCCGAGCGGCGCAGCTCGGCAGCCATCTGGCCGTCTCTTCAGGCTTCTGTTTCGGCTTAATCCGAACCCCCTTTTGGGCAAGCGCAATAAACTGATTGTCACATTCAAGTCCCCGATGCTTAGAAAGAAAAGGAGTGGGTTTCCCTCCCCGAGCAGGTTTTCAGGTGACTGCAGCGACCTCGGATGCTATATTTTGTGCTAGTCGAGAAAATAATCGTCCTTGCGAAATATTTATGTAGATAGGCAAGCTATAAAGCTACATAGCTCGTCACCCAAAAGCTACATGAGGAAAACATCCGTGTTTGTGCCATGGCAGCAAAGGGTATAATTGAACAGGCTCTGAAAAAAGATTTAATTCTAAAAATAGAGGAGCACACTACGCTCAGTGCTGTTTTGGAAAGTGTGGCTGAGCCGTCATTACGGGTCTTCCCCTCCTCCACCTGTGTCAGAGGGTGAAGGACACGTTACTGTTTCGCTTTCTTCGTTTATTTTTGGTTTAAAACCAGTGGGTTGTTGTTTTTTTTTTCCTGGGGTAGGATGTGTCCTGATTTTAAGGTGAAGAGCGGGGCTGCTCCTGCTTTCCCCTGCCGTGCAACCGAAATGGGTGTGAGGTGTTCCGGGAGGATTACGAGCTCCGAGATTTCTGTAAGAAATAGAAAAATTCCACCAACCGACAGGTTACTCGAAATAGAGCACGGGGAAGTATTCCAGAGAGAAGGACTTAAGCTCCTGAAAGGGCTTTGAAAATGGTCCTGGAGAGGGCCGGGAGGGCTGGAGGCAGCAAATCCAATCGCCCGTTGGTGGAAACGTGGCCTCGTCTGAATCGGCGCTAAAGCCGGGTCACCCCTACACCTGGGAGGTCCAGCAAGAACACGGGGAATGTTTCTTGTTCTAAATTTGTGGGTTTCACTTGCAGTTTGAAGGAACCAGCTCCTCCTTCTCGGGCTATTTCTGTTACGTGATTTGAAACTTGTAATAACCCTGATGCGCTGCTTCCCCCTCCCCCTTTATTTTTTTGGGCAAGCGCATTTGGTAGCAGAACACCTAAAATAAGGGCAGGTGCAAAGGAGGTGTAGATCTTCCGAAAAACTTCATTCTGACTGCTGCTGGCTGGGGCTGCTTCGGCGGTAAATCTCATTTACCACGTGTTGCTTTTCCTCTCGCGGCTGGTTTTGGCTTTGAAAGGGGTTTTTTTGTTCAGCAGAAGCCTTCTTGGTTAGATTTTGGCAGTAAAATCTGGACGTTGCTGTGGCTCCCCTGCGCCGTGCGCTCCCACTGCGTTCAAAAACGCTACAGAAGGAGGGGGGAGATGGGCAGAGGGAATTATTTGGTGATTAATTTCTTAATTGCCGGACATCCAGATGTGGCAAAGGCTTTGTGCGCTGGCACTGGATTTGCGTGTGCACTTTCTGCACCGGGTTGTGGTTTTGTTCCTGCCAGCGTTGCCTTAATATTTATCCGCCCAAATCAGGGCACTGTGGGGATATTTTTGTAATATTACGGCTTTCACTGTGGGAGCTGTAGATTTATATGGACCTTACTTACTCTCTTTGGCTTCCTTTCTGCCCTGGAGTGTGGTAGTAGAGAGAAAGGGTATTTTTATAACAGTAAAATCCCCGGTGCAGTCCGTGTGCTAACAAAAACATCTTTCTGTGCCTGCAGAACCCTGCTTTGTGTTCGGAGGTACAGGTAGGAAATCAGGCGAGTTGCAAAGTGCGTGGTTCCCCCATACACGCTCGCCTTCTCCCACTTCACGCCTCTGAACGCCGGAGGTTAGGAGGCGTCGCTCGCTTGCTAATTTTCTGAGGCTTTTTTCCCCCTCCCCGGCTTCTTTTGTTTGCTCGATGGAAGCCATCCGACGCAGAAACTGAAGTTTGCTGCCTCCGCGACGCCTGGGTGCCGGGGAGCAGCTCGGGCGAGGAGCTCTCGGCTTGGTCGCTCGTCTCCAGACCGTGGGTAACTTGAAAACCGAACGACGGCGTGTTTTGAAACTCGCCGCCGAGTTTTAATCGTGGCCACACTGGTGTTCAGGCGTACTTTGAGACTGATGACAGGAGTCTTTTATTTTAATTTTTTTAAAAGAGGCTAAGTTGAGGAAGCGAGAGCAGATGGGTTTTGTTTTCTCCGCGACTTGGAGAAGTGGGTCTGGCAGATGTGGCCAGGTAGGGCTGGAGCTGCTGGTTCAGCTGAGCGTGGAATAAAATCTTAACGCTGGCATAGGCAGGATTTCAGTCGCTGGGTACCAAAAGTTGTTTTAATAGGGCTCTGCGGAGGCATGGCTTTTATAGCACGTCTGTAGTTTGGTCGGTAATGATTAGCAGCGGCTAGATGGTATCAGCCGTGCCATTCAGCGTGTAGCTTTTGATCTGTCAGTTCTGCCAGGGATTTTTTGTGGCCCGTATAATTAAAACCACACTCCAAATAATCCCCCTTGCCCCTCTCTGTTTTTCCAGGAGGCGAAGGGCAGAGTGGAGATGGGCAGCAGACCGTGCAGCCATCGTCAGTCGCTGGAATTGGCTCCAAGCCCACGTCTCGGACCTGGAATACCGAATCCGGCAGCAAACGGACATTTACAAGCAGATCAGAGCCAACAAGGTGAGGAGCGGGAGCGGTTTTGCTTTGTGTGCCTCCTACTCTGCCGATGCAGAGGGAAATCCAGACGCAAAGTCTCGATGCCTTTTCTTCCCCCCGCGCCTCTGAAAGAAGCTGTTGCTCAGTTGTGACTAACGGCGATGCTGTTTGGCGTGAGCCCAGGGTAATTCTTTTCCCTGGGTCAGGACGGTGACGTGGAGAGAGCAATACCTCACTTTAAAGACAGTCTTTGAGGACTGAACAAAACCGTCGCTTCTGCGCGCGTGTTGCCCTTCCCCAGCGTTTGAGCCTCTCTCTTTTTTATTGGAAAATTATTCTTCTGAAAACCATCTTACTCTTTCGTTTTGGGAGCGGCTGAAGGAACTGTGCAGGAAGTTAGCTTCAGATGCTGTCATGTAGTACAGGCTTAAAACTGAGTCTGTATCGTAAAAAAAAGACTTCGTAGGTGCTGACTTTTCTCTGTGGAAGGAATTCTTTTTTACAGACTCGCTCTCAGGTGGTGGGAGAGTGGGAGAGAGCAGAGAAGGGATGAGGAAGGAATTGTTAGGGAGGCTTGTCCAGGCATGCACGTCTGAATGTCAGGCCTTGGAGGGAGGAATGTTTGGAGCCTGTGGCAAGAAGGTTCGTGATATTGCGTCACTTTAGAGTTCCTCGGGAATTCAGAGCCCAGCAAACACTTTTCCCAAGATTATGGTGCTCTGGGGGTGACGGGGAGAGAGGCAGCGGGGAGGGAGACTGGACTTCCCTGCAGCGATGTAGAAAAACAGGGTAACTGAGTGAGCGAGGGCTGTAAATGACTGGGGGGAAGAGCTTGGCTTTCTAACCAGAGTATGTTACTGAGATTAGAGTAAAACGCTTCTGGGAGGCAACTGTTTGTTCCTTCTCTCTTGAGAAAGCTGATCATGCAAGACAGTTTCTAAGTATAAAATACAAAATCACTAAACCTTTATATGCTAGAAGTTAAGCAATGGGAGAAACGAGAAAACTCATGTGAAGAAGCGGAAGATTTGGTGCTTTCGCCAGACGAGGGCAACTTGGCAGACTCGTGAAGTGGCCCGGTAACGGCTACAAGCATCCTGTATGTTTTGATCTGAGGGTGCAGCCTCTAGGTCTGAAAGGAGAACATCACGGAATTGTGTCAAAGCTGGAAAGTACATCTGAGGGTTTGGAAAACAGGATGTCATCGTTTTTGATTTCTTCAAACAAAAATCTCCTCAGCGGTGATAACCCGATACACGAATCGAAGGTAAAGCACGCCGCTTACAGGGGAGGCGAGGTGTTGAGGATTTGGCAGGGGCTGTTCTGCCTGAACAAGAAAACCAGAATCAAATATATCATCTTTCTGATAGAACCTCCTGGAGATCACCTGCTTGCACCCATCTGGCAGCGACCTGGTGTCGTGGGGCGCTGAGCTCGACGATACCTTGTAAAAAACCTTTTCTCATCAGGGAAAGTCAGAGCTGCCATAAAAGCAGCCTGGGACAAGTCTGAGAGCCCAGAACAGGGAGTGCGCGTTTCACTCAGGGTTTGGCTTCAAATCGCACAAAGCCAACAGCGAAAGAATTTGGAGACACCTCATTTTTTGTATCAACACAACTCCAGCTTATTTGGCCATAAGGAAGTTAAAGTGGAGCTGCTGCAGGAATAATGAAAAGCTGCTATTCCACTTATTATTTATTTAGGTTATTTTGCTTTATGTGTTGGGGGTTACATCCCAGTGTAACCTTCAGAAAAGATGCATCGCTTTGTTGAAGCCAAGCAAGAGAAGGACCAAACAGTTGAAAATAGCCTTGTGTTTTGAAGGTACGCTGTGCCTGGCTGTCTCAGCAGTAATTGTGTTTTCAGCACGTTTGAAGCGGTTCCATCGGAGCCTGGTGAGACGCGGAGGAAAACAACGAATCGGCGAGAAATTGGGTGCTCAGAGTTAGTTGTAAAGCACCGTGTGCTCTGGCGCTTAAAAATAGCAGGTGGTCGTGCCTTGGGTTTTGCGGTGCTGTTGAAGAGACCGAACAGTTAATTTAGAGACTGGATGTCCACGAAGGTAACAAGGTGGTTTCGTTTCTTGCCGCAGACGTGCTTCGTCGGGGCTTTTTGCGATGGGGTGTGGCACAGCGCTGGTCCCCCCACGCAGGCTTTGCGCCTCCCTGCGCACGTGGGTGGCAGATGCCCCGTGTTTGAAAAAGAGCACACAGCATTTGTGGTTTTTTTTTCCTCTGGGTTAGGAGCTTCACTCTTAGAATAAGAATGGAGATGAAGGGCTCCTGCCACACTTCTGTGTGGCAACAGGCTTGGTTGAAATCCAGTGACCGAAACTCCTCAGAAATGAGGTTGTTCCCATCGTCTCTACAGACCCAGGTTCGAACTGTTCCCAGCCCGTTCCAGGACAGGTTCCCTGTGTTCCCTTCGGTTTTTTCGGTCTGATCTGTGTGCAGCCTGTCCCGTGGGGAGAGCTGGGCTCTCTGCGGAGCCGCTGAGTCAAGAGAAACGGCGCCCCGGGAAGGATGGGCTGGCAGTTAGGAGGAGCCTCTGGCTGGAGGAATTTGCAGCCCTCCCATGAGTTTCCTGTCTCTGCGGCGGTATGTGGGGGTTAGGGCACCGAAAAACCTGCCACTGTCCTTCTGCAGGGCCGTGCAGAGCACTCCTGCTCTTTCTGATGTGACTTAAACGCGTGTCAGCCCTCTTCCTCACCGATTACTCCCTTGGCAGAAGTTGCTGTTACAGGACTGTGAGACATCCAAGATCTGCCTTTGGATCTGTCTCCATCTGAGACATTACGATTGACTTCCCATTAATACCATAATCAGTGATAAAAATGGGAGTAAAGAAGCAGCAAACTTGCCTGTAAATATTCCTTTTATGCTTCGGAGAACACTGGTGGAAAGCAAATATTACGCGGCCTTGGAATAACACAGATGCACTGCTCCTTTCCCTTTCCTGAAAGGGAGTTGGAAACAGGGTGTTGCCCTTCTAACTCCTCTCTGTTATTCAGAAGTGCATTAAAAAGTGGAGAATTAAAATGCTTAGAAGCAGAGGAGGCAGCTGGAGCCCTCGGTAGGAAGGTGCCATCCATCCCGGAGGCGTGTGGGTCCGTAGAGGCTGTCGTGGGGGGTGCGAGCCGGGAGGAGACGACGGACACGTGTGTCGGGCACGAGGGCATGAACCCCAAATCTCTGATTTGTCACAAGGAGAGCTGCGTTAAGCATCCCTTCTGCTTCACAGTCACCGGTAAAGGGACATGCTTACAAATACCCACGGTGTACAGAATTAATTCCTGCTCCTTGAGGCATGGAGCAGCTCCCTTCAGCCTCTTTAAACCAAAGAGCGAAGTCCTCAGTGGCTCTTTCTGTTTGTGCTTCCCCATCTCGTTCTCTCATGGAGCAAACGAGAAGCCCGAGCGCTCTCCGGAGTGTCAAAGGGAAGCAGTTTTCTGGGTTCCAAGTTTGGGTTCAGTCTCAGTTTCTTCTTTTTTCACGTCCACTATCTGGAGGTGACCGACCTCTCTGCGCCCCTGAGGATGTTTCTAGAAGCGATGGCGCGGTGTGATGGATCGCTTTTGGGGAGGGATCTTCAAAGAGCAGAGGAATTGAGTTTAGACTTCCAGCCTCTCTACTCCATGTCCTCCTGGGATGTCAGAAAACTCTAGAAAATCGTCATCATGTTTATTCTAGAAGTTGGCTGCTTCCTCGTTGCTGGTCAGAAGCTCTGTTTAGTTTATGAAGTGATTTTAGATAAATTATCCCTGAACTATGGTCTACCACAATCTTTCTGGAAAGCCACCCGTCTGTCGTACAGAAGGTTGTGTCACGGTGTAAAATCAGCCTTAGAAGAGACTTGCATGGCCACGTGCCATGGCAGCGGTCATGTAGGATTTGACTTTGTAGGCTTGGGGGGAAGCCTTGTAGAGCTCTCCAGGTCTGTATTCAGGTTCCCTTCCAGGCTCCTTTTGTTGTGACACACCAGGCAACCTCTGGAATGGTTTTCCGATCACCGATCTGCCAGTTGTCCCTCTGAGCAGCCCTTTGCTTAGTCCCTTGTTTGACCAAATGCAAACTTCTGGCTCATCTTTCTCGTGGGCTGTGTTCGTGATCTGTAGGTTCCACCGACTCTCTGATCCCTTCGCATTTTCACCCGTTTTGTTATAATATAGCTCAGAGTCTGCGTAATTGTAACGATTTTATTTCCCTCGGTGTTGTGCGGAGAGGAGATAGTCCTGCCTTCAGCGTGAGCTTCGCTCAGAATAAAACACAAATGGGACAACATGTGTTAAGCCTGATAAAACAGCGCTCTGCCACCGGGCTTTGTCCCGCCAGGTTTAGAGCAATGGCTCGTTTATCAGCGCTTTTATTTCCTTAGTGAATTTTGTGAATATCACTTCTTTGGGAAAAAAAACCAAACAACCAAAAAAGCTGCTCAGAGGAACGAGTTTGACTGTTAAGATTTTTTTTGGCACCCGCTCAAAATGGTTTGCTTGGCTGTGGCGGCGAATTCTGCTTTGTACTCTGAAAGCAGCCGCTTCCTGCGCGGCTCTTCGGCAGAACGTTCTCTTTGGTCTCGCTCAACTTCCTCGTGTGCGGGAGGAGGGGAACGGGTGGGAAACGGGACAGCGACGGCATTTCGGAGCTTTTGCCCGGGAGGGAGCTCAGTGTCTACTCTTAATGGGCTGAAGGCATTTGATCTGGCTTCGCCTGCTGTCCTTCCCCCTCTCGAGTTCAGCTTAGATGTCAGGGCAGCGTGGGGATTGGCGTCACGTCTGAAAAAATAATAATAATTTTAAAAAAACCCCAAAACACGATGGGAAAGCAAGCCTTGCTGTGCGATGGTTGTCGTTTCTGGGGGACGGTGGATGCGCAGTCTCCCCGCCGCGACCGAAGGAGCCTCAGTTAATTCCTGTTCCCTCTCTTCCAGGGGCTGATAGTTCTTGGTGAAGCATCACCCCCTGATCCTGCAGGAGATGATGCGTCCCGTCCCGTTAGTGCTGAAGTTAAGCTGGAGCCTGGGGCTGACCGGCTGGTAAGTGCCAGCAGCAGAAGTGACTGGGTCCAGATACTTCGCGCCTGGTTTTTGGGTAGGGAAGCTTCATCCTCGAAGCCGGAGAGAGATGCTTGAACCGCGTGTCTGGCACGGGGCTGGCCTCCTGCAAAGGCACCTCTCTGCGTGACTTCACGTGGGACTTGCTCTGTGGAGCTCAAACAACCCCCCTCACGTTATTTTGGGGGTTAATAAACGACAGGATTTAAACACCTCTTAGAACAGACTTCCTCGGGGTAACCTTTGTAATATGCATTAGCATTTTGTGAAGCTTAAAAATCCTAACTAATCCTTTCCCTCCAGCAAGAAAGTACCTCGAACGGAGAGCAGCACAATTAGTAAAGGCTTCTATTAATATCTGCCTGAGTGTTACCCCTCGGAAAGGGAACTAATGATTTCAGTGAGATGCGCTGGAAACTATGCGGAGCGCCAGGTATTTATTATTTAATGCAGAAATGTAGGGCACAGTCTAAAGGCTTGGTGGTACCGTTCAGCCTGACTGTGATTACTTTTGATCCTGCGGGACACGTCGACGTATTAAAATGGAGGATTTTTGTAGCATTCGGAGAAGGGTGGTCCGTGCGTGGCTCAAACTCCTGCAGCGTTTCTGCTTTCCCGCCCCGACGCCGCGGTTGGGGAGGGACGGAGCTTCTCTGCGGTGGCAGCACTTGAATTTCAGAGACCAGTCTTCAGTGTAGTTGATGCAGGTAAAAAACTTAACTAGGAGGGACCGTAAAATTGTACTTGGAGTGTTTTCTCCCGTCACTGGCAAGTCTTCGTCAGAGTTTTCCCGATACTGAAAGATAATCTGAAACGCTGTGAAATTTTTGGACCGCAGAGGGGTTATTAGGAGCGACGGTAATAAAACATCTCCTCGTTTGACGCTGCCTTTCAGATCTGCGTTTGGAATTTAAGCCTTTAATTAGCAGATTAGCTGAGCCCCAAACTCGGCGCTGTCGCTCGGTACAAGGAAACAGGTTTTTTGCTCACGGCCAGAATAGTGGCTGGTGCTTTGGGTGGAAACAGAACCACGCCGGAGGAGCAACAGGAGGCTGGAGAGCCGGGGTGACAGGGGCTGCTCCGCGTTGTGATCGAGTCACAGGCTTTACGCCGTGTCTGGCTTGGAACGGCGATGTCCGTCTGTCGGGTGCCCCCCCCGTTTTCATGCTTAAGCCCCAAAAGCATTCGGAGAATAAAAAACAAGTGACAGCGCACTGCGCTTCACCTCAGAAACAGCGAGCTCCTGCGCGGAGGGCTGGGCTGTTGTTTGGGAGCTAATCTGTAAATGACAGCCTGATAACCGAGATAAATGATCAAATCTTAACGGTGATAGGGAGACTGTTTTCTTCCTTAGCTGTTTAGATCAGGGTGTTTATCTGACACGAGTGTATTTTCAGGCTGGGAATCTGTGTCCCACCTGACTTTATCCCTGCGTCTAAAAGACATTTCCCGTACGCTTGCAAAATCATCAAATTGTCCTTTTTTAGATTGGCTAGACATCATCTCGGGGGGTGTAGAATGGAGAAGGTCTCTTAGATTTCTGCTGTATGGAAAAGAAAATCCTCGCTTGGTCTGGGCTGTCTGGTTTTGCTGCTCACAGCTCGAGATTGCTCTATTTCCTGCATTGTCCCTTTTCTTGTCCCTTTTCCCATCCTCTTCTCTTGGGCCTGACCTCTTCCAACAGAGACCTCTGTCAGCGCGGCGCTCGAGCGATGGAGATCCCATCTGTCCTGCAGGTCTTGGAGGTAACACCGACATGACTAACAGATACCGAGAGCAGCGAAGAACATGATTTTTGCTGCAAAGCAGGCTGCAGATTCCTACTGGGCACCTTCTTGTGGCTACTCCTGCAGCCTTGCTTGCTGTCCTGCAGGGTAACTCCGCTTGAAAAGGACTTTTTATCCCCTTTCCACATCTCCATGCGCACATAGCTCCGCGTTCCCAGCTTCTTTGCGGCAGTGCTGGAGGTGTCAGCCCCCAGAAACGCTGCCTCCAGGCACGCAGCTTCCACACCCTGCTGCCGGAGGGCTGGTGCGTAATTAGACTTGCTCGTTAGGGTGGGGTGTTGAGTCAGAGCCTCGCTCTGCTCTGAGCCAGAGATTAGCCCAGAGACCATTCCTGTTGCGTTAGGACACTTACTGGAAGGGGATCTCTTGGGCCTCTCCTGGAGAGCAGCTTATCATTTTGGCGCTCTGGGCTGCGTAGAATTAGGCTGCCTTTTTTTTTTTGGCCTTTTTTTTTTTCTTGTCTTCCCCTAAACTGGCAGAGTGAGAGGCAGGTCTGCAATGTGGCGTAAGGAGAGGAATCCATCCTGTCTCATCCCCAGCTCCTCTTTTGCATCTCATCTGCTCACCTCCCTTGGCCAGTGCGAATGCAGGATACGTGGCCTCGGGCACTGGCTTGTTACGTGGGATGCAGCTGATAATCCCTGGGAGGAACTAATCCTATCATCAGTGGAGGGAAGAGCTTTGCAAAGAAGGCCTGGGAACGTCTGTTGGGAACTGGGAGCTCTGTGAATAAATATTTTTTGCCCGAAGACTGGAATAACACGAAGCCCTGAAGAAAAAACTCAGCTGGTGATATCGGTTCATTGCTTGTATTGCTGGTCTAGCAAGGGGGGTGCGCTTGAAATTTTTAATATTAGATGAGAAGGGATAATTGATGAAGTACCTTGGTAAGGTTTTCCCTGGCTTTTAGGGATTTGTGTCTAGTAATAGGTGGAAGGGCTGAACTGGTCTGGTTCTGTTTAGGTTTTTTTGGGAATAGAGGAGATGTTCCTGGTGCTGTGTCATGTCTGCCCCCCAGCACGTGGCTTCTTTACGGCCGTGAGAGCCCCTGGGAATCTGCAGCAGGCTCCTGGTTTGTGCAACAAGCAGGTGTGCTAAAGCCCCCCTAAGAGTCCCATGGATCCTAAAGACCTGGAATTCCAAACCCCAGGCGTGCACAGAACACAGAGAAGAGCTCAGTCTGGAGCATCCGATGCTCCTCTGGATCCCGAGCCAGCCCCGGAGGAGGGTTCGGCATCGGGACGTGCATCCAAGGGGAGCTGGTGCGAGAGCTCTGCCTCTGCTCTCGGCGCTGGAGACGTCAGCCCTTGGCAGTCCTGCTTGTTCCCCCGTTGCTCATGTCAGAGCTCCGGTCGGGTACACCCACCTTCAGCCTGATAAGGTGAGCCTGGGCCCTTCCTGATAAAGACCCCGTGGATTGATGCTTTCCAGCTCTGCCGCAGGAAGCAGAGGGGTCACCCTCTCTTCCTATCTTGAGCCACCGAGCCAGAGACAGCCCGTGGAGGAGAGCTTCCTCCTTTAAGACCCTTTCCGGAGAGGAAAATAAATAACCCGATTTCAAAAGAGCTTCTGAGTCATGTGTACCCGCCCTCCTGAACCGTGGGTGCCTCCGGCGGAGGTGTCATGTGAAGGCTCAGCCTTGCCAAGTCTCTGGAAACCAGAGGGGAAAGCGTTCAGCTCCTGCGCCGGCGTCACCTCGCTGGGGCACCGCGTTGCGCTTGCGCCACACTTCTGGCGCGATCTCGTCTCCCCCGCTGTGTCCCCGCGCTCGGAGCGCGTGTCGGAGGCGAGCCCGATCCTGTCTCTGCTCCCCTGCCCCGGGAGAAACGTCTTGTTCAGCAGAAGTGTAGAAAACCCAGCAAAGTTCCTCAAACGGGCAGAAGTTGTCTGTGGTGTTCAAATCGCTCTTCCCTTGGTGAGTCGGGTCTCTGCTGCTCTGGAAGCCGTTAGTCCAGCGCTGCCGCAGCCCGATTTTCGATTGTTCCTTGATGGAGCATGTGATGGGCGGTGGGACCGGCCGTCTCCGTGGGTGTCAGACCTTTTCTTTTGTCTTATTTCTTTACCGGCACTTGCGCTGCGCCACCACCCTTGCGTGCACAAAGCGGGAAACCCAGCTAGAGGGACCTTGGCAGCGAGCGACGGAAGAAATGAAAGTTAACCCAGGGGAGAAGGAGCGTGTCCGAAAACAAAAAAGGGCTGCAAGGAGGAGACTGAGGGTCTCGCTGCAGAGCAAGGGCGCTTGCGTTTGGGACCCACGACGGAAGGGATTGGGGAGCTCCATGTCTTCAGCTTAGTTTTTACTTACTTTCCTCAGCGTTTCCAGCTTTATCAGGCAGTTTCAACTTTATGGAGTCGGCCTGCTTAGATCCGAAAATCACAGCTCGTTTAAAATGCTGTTTGGCCCGTGTTTGCACAGGTATTTAGCTAAAATGCAAATTCAGTTTTGCAAGTCCGTTCTCCTCTCCTCCTGTTTTCCCCCCAAAGCCCTTAGACGAGAGCTCGCAGCCCTGTGGCTTCGAGCACAACTGCAAACTTCAGAAAACTCCTGCGAGGTTTGCGGGTGGTTCTGAACTTGTTTGCACCGTTGAGACAAAAGTGCCAAAATCTCCTTAAAGACCTCAGCCTTTCATGCTCCGTAGTGGTTGCCTGAAGGGAATTGAAGGCGTTGAAAGCGCTTTCGTGTACCCGAGCTGCTCCCTAACAAGTCCTTGGTCTCCTGTTCGCTCAGTGATTTCTGAACCCTCAGTTTGGAAACCCAAGGCTACAGCGCAGAATCCTCAACTAGAAATTGAAAAAGTAAGTTGTGGCTATTTAAAAAGCTTTTTTTTTTATTAATTTACGATCTTTCTCATCCTTCTTTAGAGCGTTTCTGGATCCCAGCCACTAGACAACTCGGGTATTTCTGCCGCAAATGCTCCGGAATCCCACCCTGCCAAGCCCTGTGGAGCACCAAGACCCGTCAATGGAGTTATTAACACGTAAGCTGCTCACATATTATGGGAAGAATTGAGTTTTTATGACCTTGACAAAGTCCCATTGGAAACTGGCCTGTAACACACTGGCTGGTAGTAACTGGGTTGGTAGTGGTGTAAAATGGTCTCTTTTTGAACAAAAAGTACAGTAGTAGATCGTGCTTGGAAATGTTTTAGAGGCCGTTGCTTGCTTGAGGTTTTCAGCTGCATTGTTTTTCTGAAAATGGTATTAAGCTGAGCTGTGTTTACACGAACGAGCCCTGCAGGCAACCACGCAACGAGCATGTTCCAAACCGTTTCTGGATGGGTATTTTTAATGCGCTTCCAAATTGTGGGATTCAAAGGTAGTAGTGGCCCGCGTGCGATTGTTTTGGGGAAGCAGCTGTAACCACTGGCCCGCTTCTCTGGAGATACTGAGGAACCCAAATCCCCCTGATTTTTGGGAGTAAGGCTTTGTAAATTCTTCATTTCTCCGGGGCTGTTTTTGTTAAGAAAGTCTTTACGTGGGTTAATGAAAAACAAGTGATGCCACGGGATGATTTCTAGGTCGAACCACTTGAAAACTCTTGAACACACGGTGCTCCCAAGTTCTGGTGGCCGCCAGCACCGTTTCGCTCGCTTACTACCTGGAGGAGGGGGCATTTCGAGCGAGCAGGCGTAAAAGCACCGATCAGCAGCTGTGCCAGAGCCCTTTATCTGCCTGTAGCCTTTGAACTGCAGAGCCTCAGACCGCAGGGCTTTAATGTTTTGCATTTTGAGCAGGGAAGCATTTGTAGAATATACATGAAAAGGTTCCTCGGGTGAGGAGCCGCGTTGGCGTTTGGTGGGTGGCGCGTGGTGGGGCAGGGTCGCTACGCTCGGACAGGGAAGCCCTTTGTACGTAAAGCAGGAAGGTTCACGTTAACGTTGCGCCTTTCTGGAGTCCCTGCTGAGAGATATAGTTCTCAAATATTAATCAGAATCAAGATGACATCAAAGCTAAATACTTTTCCTAGAAAATTCTGTGTTCTCGGTCTTGTGCTCTCTGGCATTTAGACTCATGAAAACCTTGTCTTAAGATGCCCTGAACTGTAATTTCAGAGGAAGCTGAATTTTAGGATTAAAGTTGTTCAGGTCTAGAGCAGCATTTCATCTCGCTCAGTGCCCGCCTTGAAGTGCCGGGTGTTTTTCAGAACTTCCAAAGGTATTTTGTCAAAGGTTCAGCGATGGGAGAGTGCGGAAAGTGACCAAAGTAAAAGGGAAAATTAAGAGTTGGCTTAGTAAAAGCTGTTGCCTCGTGAAACTGCGATGCTTTAAACTCAGCTTAGGGTGTTTGCTGAGGTCTGGATCGTGAACCTGGCTGGTACCGCTGGGTAATGCAGGGCGGATGAATGAATAACAGTGTCTTTCTTATTATTCTTTTCTCTTCTTGGGCAGTCTTCAGCCCGGCCTGGCAGAACATTCTCAGGGAGATGGCCAGGAAGCTGAGGAGCTCTTGCATAAAAAGCAACGACTGAACATGGTTTCTTCATCTTCGGATGGAACGTGTGTAGCAGCTCGCACCCGCCCGGTGCTGAGCTGTAAGAAACGACGTCTTGTTCGACCTAGCAGCATTATGCCCCTTTCCAAAAAGGTTAGTGCTGGGTTTTGGGGTTGTTTTTGGGTTTTTTTGATGCAGTGTGTAACTAGAGCTCCACAGCAAAGAGCCCGGTGAGGTCCCGATGCGTTGGTCCCCTGTGCTTTTGCTCTTTGAAGAGCTTTCCCCATTTTGAGAATGTTATTGAGAGCGGAAAAAATACTGGTGAGGAAGAGGACAACAGTGAGGCTTCCAAGGCTGCTGGGGAAGCAAAGGAGAAACGAAGAAGCAGCTTTTAATTTGTTGGAAGACTTTCATTACCTGTCACTGGGGAGGGGAGCTGCTGAACTCCTGATGTAGATTTTCTTTTCAAAAACCAACCAGCCTCAGGTGAACTTCAGGCCGGATGTTTCGCCATGGCACGGTCCTTTAAACTTCCTTTAGGAATGCCATGAACTGTCAGTTGGAGGATAGACAGCTAGAAAACGAGGAAATAAGGATGTTTTTTATGTGTGTAGCTCTCACGATGGCAGGACAATAGATGGCAAAAATCCGCTTACCTTTGAGTCAGAGTGTTTCAAGTCCAATTTTACCATGAAGGTTTGGGGGTTTTAGCTCTGTGGGTGCTGGAGTTCTAAAGAGAAGCTCAAAAACAGCAACATTTTTCTGAGCGAAACAGATTCTCACTGAGCTGTGTTGGCTTTAACTGATCGTTTGTTTGCCCTTTTATCTTGGGGTATTTGTGGTAAACCTCTGCAGTGACTGCTTGCAGGTTTTTCAGGGTTTTGAAAGTTAATGAACCGTCCTGTAGGTGATGCTGAGTTGTGCACTCAGTGTTCAGACAAGTGTCTGTTAATCCTGTGTCAGTTACTGACCGTATTCTTAAAATGCATTTGATAGTCGGAGAAGAGCAGTTCCAAAGGCTGGATGATGTGCCAGGCGGCCGAGGATTTCTGTGGATTCCTCCATTTACTCAAGAGAAAACTTAAATGATGGTTAGGTTCGTGGTCCAGAAATACCACATCCAGTTGACCACGCTCTCCCGTCTCCCACAAAGTGGTTGTGGATTGCTGCCACCAGAAATTACAACCAGGAGAGCTCCCTGTCGCAGTGGACATCACCCATAGCTGTGCCTGGGGTTTCACAGGCTGAATATGAGACCACTTGAGGTTTTTAAGTTGGGAGATGTCCTGCAGGAAAGGAAAGTGGCCTAAAGGTTGAGCTGGATCCTTTGGTTTGGAAACAGGACTGGTCTTGTGAAATGGGAAGGAATCTCTCGTGGTCACTGGCAGCATCACCATGCCCCAGAGCGGATGCTTCATCCTCAGCCCGTGCCAGACGGTGTGTCTGACCCTCCTTAGGCAAGCTCTAGGCGTGCTTAGCTTGCTTGTTTTTCACACAGCAAAACCAAACTTTCTAATATAAGCTGCCCTGGCTGCCTTTAAAGTCCTGACCAGTAGTCCCAAGTCCTGGTGGAAACTCAGCTCTCCTCGCGCCTTCAGAACCTCTCCCCAAAGGGTGAAAGTTGATGGTCTGATTCTTACTGTGGTCACCTCTACTCTCAACACACCGCGGCTTTTTCCCTTTCTGCACATAGAATGTATTCTTGAGGGCATCTTGTAATTTTTTGACGTTGTTACGGTGCACCGAATTTCTTGGAGTACATGCCCAGAACTGGGAGCAGCCCTCCAGCTCACAGGTTAGCAATGCCGAGCGGGGCGGCAGGGTTACCTCATGCATCTTGCACACCCGGCCTGTTTGTAACGCCCTGTGGGCTGGTAATTCTCTGGAATGATCCGACGCTGCTGATTCATTCTCGTTTTCTGAGCCATAACCACCACCACCACCAGATCCTCTGGGCAGAACTGCTGCTCGGTTACTTCTTCCTCCCCTTCACTGGTCACCGAAGCGTCCTGTGTGTTGCATTTGCCTCTCAGTGAATAAGATTTTATTTATTCTAGATAATTTCCAGCCATTTCCTTTAAAGCACTTGCAGCCCTTCCCAATTCTAGTGTTATTTGCTAAGGCTTCAGGATGTTATCTCTTCCATCATTCAAGCCGTGAGTGGAAATGATGTAAATAATGCCGGGCTGGGAGCGAGACTTTTGCAGGATCCAGTTTGATACAGCCTTTCATTTTGATGGGGAATCATTGGATGCTGTCTCTGTAAGGGATCTACATCCAGTTCTGCATCTGCCTGCTGTGCTTTCGCATAAATGAAATCTATATAAAGTCTGTATAGAGTCTGTGAGTCAAAAGTCTGTCCTGGTTTAGGAAACAAGGTTGAAAACCCCCATTTTTCACTCTCTAAGGATGTCCCAGGATGTATCAGCTCTTGGTATGTAGTCATGGCTCTCTGACCCAGCTAAACTCAAAAAGGCTTTTTTTTTTCCCCTCTCTGAACACTGAATTGTGCTGCCTTGTGATATTTATAAATGAGGTTTCAACCCAGGTAAAATGAAAACCCTTCTAGTCAGCTTTAGGAGCTGGTGAGTAGTAGTTTTCAGCTGGGTTCATGCAAAGTGAAAGTGTCCTTCTGTGAGACTGAACGAACAGGTTCTGTACAAGGTATAGAAAAACCCTCAGCCTCGAGGATGTTTTTCATGAGCTGTCAAAGGGGAATGTGTGGAGAGAGCCCTTAGACACCTCGACCTCTGATGTCTCTCTGCAGGTCCATCGTAACAGCCTGGCGCGATGTAGCTGTGACGTGAACCCTTCGTGCGCTCTCTGCGGCACCCGGAGCTCCACGACTCTGGAAATCCAGTACGACGCCCCTTTGCTGGAGCGCCTCTCCCAGCTGGACTCGTGTGTCCATCCTGTCCTGTCGTTCCCAGATGGTAAGAGCATCACACTGGGTCAGAAATGAGTTACAAGGAGGGGGGTGCTTGCCTGCTCCAGAGCCTGCTCCTCCATCCCGGGATTCCTGGGGAGGTGCAGATCTGCTTGAGTTCCACCAAGCTGGTTCACCTACAGGTATTTTGGGGAGTAGAGCATTTACTGGAATGGAAGGGTCTGGGAAAGCATCACACCTGAGGGCTGCTCTGCTGTGGACGTGTGGTGCAGGAGCCAGACCCAGAACCTCACTCGACACGGAGGAACCGAGCGGTGCCCGGGAGCCTGTGCTGGGCCCCGGTCTTAAGCTCAGTGTCTTTTATTGCTGTCAACCACTTGAGAAATATTTGCCTGCCACAGAGTTTATTCATCAGTCTGAAAATCATCTGTTGACTGGTTTAAGTCACAGGAAATTTATGTTGACCTTGTAAGGAGTTGTAAATGACCTTCGATGGTTTGGAGGGTACGGCAAGAAGGGATGTTCCCGTTAGGACAGATGTTTCCCTCTGTTACGGTATCGGGGTTAATCATCATTAAGAGTAATAACTAACCAACCCTGACCGTGGGGTATTCACAGATTTCGTGTGCAGGGACTTTTCCCAAGGGAAAAGAAGTAGTTTCCAGAATCTTTTGCTTCCTAAGCTGCCAAATGAAACACGAGCCTGTTCTTTGACCAAAACCTCTTGGCTTGCATGGGCTTGGCGTCCCTCTGTCGTCTTTTTTTCCTCCCATGACAAAACAGAAGCACAGATGTTAGGGACTGGTCCTTATCATCAGTTAATAGAGCAGAGCAGTTCCTTTCCTTCACAGCGAGGCTGCCTGAGGTGCAAACCACCGCTGGAGGAGGCTGCGTGTCCCTGCCGGTTGGGAGGGTGTAAAGTGGTTGGTCCAGGTTTGGATTTCAACTTTGGGTTTAAATTCCAGCTTTCCACAAACTGCATGTGACGGTAGGAAGGGCATGAGGGGGTGTCTGGGAACAATTAAGCTGGCGTCTTGCACTAGCGCTATATTTAAAACTGACTAAAATAGTTAAATTGGTGCTGTTTTTAATCCTCACCCCCCCTGAGAAACGTTTCTCTTAAGGAATGCTGAAGGAGACTAACACACTGAACTCCTAAAACTGAAATTTATTTTCTGATTTCACAGCGCTTGCAATCCTCTTGTCTGTGGTGTTAAATCCAATATCCTAGGGAATGGTGAGAAAACCCATTGTGTCCTGTTGCAGCCTCACCCCCAGGCAAACGAGCTCGTCCCGTATTTGCTTCCCAGGTTTTAGGGTCAGCTGGAGGCAGCTCGAGTGGTGAAAGATCCATTTGGGCTGCATGAGGTTAAAAACTTTGCATTTAAAACTACACACAGTGTAAAGCTTAGAACATCTGTAGAGAAATACCGATTCCCTCCCTCCAGTTAATTCTGTTTTTCCACCGATGCTTCATGTGGTTTTGCTGGGGTGGTTTTTTGGGGGGACGGGGATGCTTTTCTACCCAAACATAAAGCCGGGGAGCGCGTTCAGGTAGGGAAATTGCTCAGCCTGACGTGGAGGGATCTCACTGCCTGCGGGTATTGATCCGGGGTGCTGGGTTATTTGGGGGGCTCCCCTCGAAAACCAGCTGGCTGGACTGGCGGGCAGAGGCTGGGCCGAGATGTTCTGGGGGAGCTCGGTAGATGGAGCCTGCCCCGAGCGCTACGAGCATGTGCTGAGTTTCACTTTGAGCCCGTCTCTGCGGGGCTCGGCCGGTGCCAGCAGCCGGGGATCTCCGGTGCCGTTTGCCAAGGGCAAAATTTGCCAGGCGCCGCAGGAGGAAAAAAAAATAAATCATTTATTCTTCTGGCAAGCAGGGCGAGAGGGCATCGCGGCTCTTAACCCCTTGCAGTTGTGTTTCCTAAGAGCTTTGACCCCTTCCTTTCACGGTTCTTTTTATTCCTAATCATTTTTAAAATTTTTTTCCACTGGTTCATGTGATTCCTCGCCGGGGATTTTTGGATGATGTAATAACCTTGGTGGGGAGGATGAGAGCCGGGGCGCTGGGGCTCAGTGCGGTTGCCATCTGCCGGTCCCCGAGAGGGCTGCACCGCTTCTCGGAGGAGGAGGAGGAAGAAGAAGAGGAGGAGTGACAGTGTCACTTGCTGCACAGACTGTGGTGCACCCGGTGCTGACGACAAAGGAATGACGAGCCAGCAAACAGAACTCATTTTCTGCTGACAATGTTCTGTTTTGGCGTTTTTCCCCCTCTCTCTGACCTGTCTCCTCCAGCTGCACGAGTTGCTGGGATGGGATGAATTTTCAGGAGAAAGCGAAAAAATTAACAGGGAAGAGACCGTTTTCCCCAAGTCAGACACGGTGGCAACGTCCTTAAAGGACCCACTTGGCCCCTCTCTGTTCTTTGGGAAGTTTCTGCTCAGGGTCGACTTCAGAGTCCCCGTGACAATGTCGTGAGAGCTCGGGGGGTGTGGGTGAGGGATGTTTGTGCCAGTGATGCTCATCTTAGTGCTTTTAACTCCTGGTTGTGGCCACGTGTCCTGCTGGTGAGGGTCCTGCTGGCTTCTGTGTCCTGGGGGAGGAGAGCAGGTGGGTGACGGTCAAACCCCCGGTGCCGGGCTTTTACGGTCTAACGGGTGTAGTCGGAGAAGATCAATTCATGTCTCAGTAGTTCTCCTGTACACCCTGAACTTTTCCTGCCTTTCTGAAGTAGAAATTTGACCCTTGGGCCTATAAAAGAGAGCTGGGACTTGGAGGAGACGTAGGCAGCTGCGGTCAGTGGTCAGATCCGAAGTTGGAAGCTCTGGGTGTGAAAGGAAGGTTTATTCTGAGGCTGCAGGGAGCTTGCTGCTCCAGCTCGTGGGTTTTGGAGCCAAGGTAGGCTATCTGCACAAAGAAATAGCGGGCTGATCTCTGCAGTGTTCTGGCTCTCAGCTGAGGTTGGGAGTACACGGGGTTTGGGAAGAAACAGAGCTTGAGGATCGGGAGCGAAAGCAGCACCTGCCGAATTTCACTGCAGCCCAGCGCACCCGTGTGCGTCCGGAGAGGGCAGGATGGACCGGCGCTGGGTGCTCCGTGTTACTGTGGCCTGTGGTGGGCACAGAAGCTTCAGGCTCGAAATGCATCGGTTATCCAGATAATTACCCCTGAGTTTCCCTGCCCGCAGACGGCTGCGGGACCCGGCTCCTGCCCGGGCAGCTCCCGGCGAGCAGCGCACGTCTGCTCACTTACACAGCTCTGTCAGATGGTTCAGGTGCCACATCAGGCAGATTATCCTCCTACAGTACTTGATTGGGTTTTGGCTTGAGCCGAAATTGAGGATTTAAGCTGAATTTCTCTTCTCCAAGCCGTACCTCTGTAGGTTTGATCTGCTGAGATAGCTCAGATTCTTGGAAGGCAGATCTGAGACAGCAGAATTGAGCGTGGCGGTACACGAGATACCTTTGGTGGCAAAGACACGTGGTTTTTCTGACAGAGCCTTTGTTCTCCAGCCGGGGTGTACTCGGGCTGCGAATCCTGTGGGCATGTCCTTCTCTCAAAGAGCTTCGGATTAGAAATGTTGGGTCCTCCCTGAACACGAGGAAGGCGTAGGCAAGCCTGGGTTTTGCAGTTTAATGCCTGTATGTTTGTCGAGGGCTGTTCTTCCTGGGGGACAGGGAGAGGATTGTGGTACCGCAGCTTCCTGGCGTGTAATTCAGCAGATTTGAGCGCCGTGTTTTGTGTATCTCTCTGCAGACGTGCCGACGAGCCTGCACTTCCAGAGCATGTTGAAATCTCAGTGGCAGAACAAACCCTACGAGAAAGTCAAACCTCCCAAAAAGCTCTCGCTGAAGCACAGAGCCCCCATGTCTACCAGCAGCCTGTCTGA